CAACGTCCGCGTTATTTTACACTGTACTACTGCCAAACCGTGGCAACTACCGTATTTTTCGGACCATAAGACGCTCCTTTTTACATAGAAAAATCCACTTAAAATTGGAGCGCGTCTTACGGTCCGAAGGTAACGTTAAAATACTGTATCTATTAGATTAATGGGTTAAATAAATGGTGTTCACTGTGAATTCTCTTAAGGGGGTCTTCCAGTGTGACGGCCGTCCTTTTAGGCCTTCTTTGCTAATTTATTACAGAAGTACGGTAACAGTTATCAACACGAGCTTTATTCCTATGTATTTACTTGTCCTTGAAGAATCGTTACAAATTTTGTTTGTTGAAAAGTAATTAAATATGACTGCTGTGGAACACGTCAAACAGGAGCATGAAAAAATAAAGTAGGTCCATGGTTGCCATGATTTGAGCTGTTCTGCGTATCAGAAATAAAAAAATCCAATTGATTCTTATTTAGTGTGCATGTCGCTATGATCGGTAGTAGAGTAAAAAGAAAATATTGCAAATTAAAAAAATGGCGGCACTTTGAATGCGAAGTATCGATTTTTTCGACTTTTTTCGTCTCAGAGGCTCTAAAAATCAGAAAAATATACATTTTGGCGTAATTCTACTACCGACCATAGCCACACATGTTCTGCAGACATGTGCAAAATTTCAGTTCGATTGGTTCAGTAGTTTTTGCCAGATCGTGGCAACCATTTCAGAAAACATGGTTCCGAGAAAAACGCGTTTAAAGTTTTCAGTGCAATTTACAGTGCAATTTAGATTCTCCCTTGATGTGTCACACTAAACGAGCTATAACTTGGTTATTTTATTGAATACAACTATAAAACATCAGGAGTACATTCTTAAAGAGTTGCACTTTCGATATATGCAAAAAAATAAAAGTCGATTTTTCGAAACCGTCGCACTAGAAGATCCCCTTAAACATATTTTATTTTCTTTGGCGCGGAAGGGCGTCTTAACGCTTAGAAAATCGCAGTCGAAGTGAAATTGAAAAACTCGTAAGGGCACGACAGAAAGTCTGTTGTCCACCTGAGAAAAAGAGAGCCTTTTTACCCAGGTCCCTTAGGTAGAAACAGTTACAGGCCTGTGGGTCCGATGACGTCTGGTCTGTTATATTATTTTCACTAGCAGTGTTTCTCATAACACAATTCATTTTTGCTTACTGGCTGACGCATTATTACTAGTAAATAATCGAACAGTATCTTTATACTGTGTCGAAGCTATTAGAGAAGTTCGAACGGTGACATTAACGAGATGAGTGATCGAATTATTTGAACAATAAATAAATTAACACGTTCGTCGCCACGTCTCCCATATTTAACACGCTTCCGTCGCTACGTCACCCAGATCTGGCAGATATGGGTGACGTTCTTCTTCGTCAAGTTAAGTAGGATTTCACAAGTAATTTATAAAAATCCATATAACACTGTATTATACTATACATTAATTTATATTTAAAATAATTCGTTAAAACAATTGGAACACATTTCTGGTAATTTTGGACAATTGGGACAATATGTTGTCCCGCTTCCTGGCGTTCGAGAGTTTGTCTCCTCTTCTGGTAACATAGAACGCAAATTCCAGCTAATCGCTCTGTTTACGTTGTTGCGCTCCGACTATCGGATTTGGGCCCCGCGAGAAACTCGACCGATTCACGCTGGGCGACGAACGTGTTAAGTAAGAATTTGAAAATATCATTGTATACCTAATAAAATATTCTTTCCTGAAAATCGTCCGATAAATTTGGGGTGCGTCTGATGGTCCGAAAAATACGGTACTTAAAATATCTACTCTTCGATTGGTCGTGGTAGCATTATTTGTCTAACTCAAGTTGTACAACTCCCTACATCCGTGAACCTGTAATTGGTGTTAAAAAATCGCGTTCTAAGGTTGCACATTCGCGATGGTTAATTTACGCGCGAAATCGGTTCGATAATAACCGCTCGACCGGAAAATGCTCGCAGACAACCATCTTTCATTAGTTATAAAAGGGTTACGTAGACCGAAAGCCGAGCGAACAATTACGATAATGGTATTTTCCTTGCGTCGTCCTAGGCGATGACACAAACGAACCGGCGCGTCGCGGCGCTTGCGATAATAAGGCGTCATCGTCGTAGAGTTCTACCATTGTCCGTATTTATAGCGAGGACGATAATCCCGACAACGTATCGATGCAAATCGATTGCAAGCAATATGTTTATGAGTAGTCCATGAAACGAATGGTTTTCTGTCTATTCTACTTAGTCTACCTTGTCTTCGCTCTGTTATCCTTTTTTCTATACTTTAGTCGTTCTATCTCGTCTTCATTCTGTTATCCTTTATTTCTGCACTCTGCTCGTTCTGTCGTGTCTTCACTCTGCTTTCCATTGTCACTCTTCATCCTCTAATACGTGTAAGGAATGTTTTCCCTTTATTCTGCATATTCTATCTCGTCCTCGCTCTATTATCCTTCTTTCTGCACTCTACTCATACTGTCGTGTCTTCATTCTACTTTTCATTGTGGAACTTAATTTTCATTCTTTATCCTGTAATATATGTTTCGTCTTCACTCTATCACTCTTCTTTTTCCACTTTAGCTTTTATTGTCGAACTTAATTTTGACATGAATATGGAAAAATTTGTTAGAGGTCTAAATAGCGAAAGACCGAATCTCTAATTTCATCCATTTAGCAAACTGTAATTTACTACTCCTCTCTAGCGGAAAGACCTTCGAGTGCAAAGGGTTAAAGATATTTCGTTCGCATCGAATGAATTTCCCGTCACTCGTTAAGCACGATTCGATTCGTCGAGGTTTTTGCGATACACCTGCCCCATTTCTACGATTTTTATTACTGAGGCTTTGAATTGTAAGCTGTGTCCTTATGGAGAAAGGAATCTGACGTTTTGTAAACATTACAGCTCACTTCGTCAAGGTTCGTGAAACACACTGATAACGCACTGTTTATTATGGAACTCTGACGAAGTGAGCTGCAATGTTTACGAAACGTCTGAATTTTTCCATAAGGACACGGTTTACACCCGAAAAAATAATAATTATTAGGCTCCGGGGCCGTGAAAGCCTTAGATCTTCGATTCTACACAATTTTGGCGCGTTTCTTTTCCGCTTTTCCATCTTACTGCTCTCCTCTTTGTCTTCTCACACGCCAAAATTTCATACTGAAAGGCAAATTACGAAGAGAATCGAGGGAGAGAAGAGCTATAGGTAGAGCTAACGGTGAGGAGAATTCTTTTTTCCTCGCGAGTTTATATACCTCGAGATAAATATCGCGCGATCGCGGCTGACGTCCCTTCGGAGGAAAATTAATTTCTTCTCGATAGAATCTTAACGACAATTGACCTCCCGCGGTACATGGCTTACGTATGAGCCATTTTATCAGCGTTTTGCAATCGTTCCACTGTTTATTTGGAATTTTCAAGATAAAAGAAGAGAGGTGGACGAGCTGTTTGCATGGATTATCGAACGATGATCGCTAGACGGCCATTCGAGGACTTTCCGAACGATTTTTTCCACTTATCAGTAGACCGATCCGCATAAAAGATCGTTCTTGAACCCGGTCGATAATAGTTACGGGGCAAATATTTAAGTTTCCTGGAGTTTCTTGCGTGGTTCGCGGCTAAAGCTTCGCGAACGCTGAACTTAATAACCACAGTGTTTGAAATACCGCGTACAAACGAGTCACTCATTGATATCTAGCCAAATGTGTTTAAAACGACCAATTAAAATGTAGTTACAGTGATAAATATAGATTATTAGGTCATTTTGAAAATTCCCGCGTTTTCAAGCGGTTCATTTGAAAAAAAGAAAAAAGAAAGAAAGAACGTAACTCCGTTGAAATTAATTTCCGTAATGTTCGATACACTTTTGTCAACGTATCGCAAGGAGCGTTAATTCCGCGTATATAAAAATCCGACGAAAAGAGACCTCCGTAGATAATAAATATCGATGAAATTAATTTGTTTGTTCAGCGGTAGAAACAGCGAACATTCGTTTTCCCTTCTTTCACGTTCGATGCGCTTTGAAATTTGACGACAAAAGGAAAAAAAATGCCGCAACGGAGAGAACTTTGCGTCGTCGTTGATGTAAACAGATTGTTCGAACCGTCGGCGACAAACATTTCGCCACGATTTATAGGTTGATTCAGGTGCGCTCGGTTCACCTTGACTCATTATTCCAAATTGTATTCTGCCCCTTTCCTCCTTCGTTAATCGAATTTGCAACCTGCTTCGCGTTTGTTGTTATAACGTGATGTTTGATGTTATGATTAATCCGCAAGGTATCTTGCGATTTTTGTTGCCAGAAATGCAACACCTGCAGCTTCTGTTAAACTCCATTATTGGTTGGCCTTGTCGCAACGACTTTTGCTTAGATACTTAGATAACTTTATTTCTCTTTTTATTTACGAATGGGAATATGAATACATTTCTTTTGGACTTTAATAGTTTTGTAATGCCCGATTAGATTTACATAGTTCACGTTCAATAAGTGAGTTTACATCTGACCTTTTCACATTAACCCCTTAACATATGACAACGCGTCGGACACGTGGCAGAGGTTCTGGCGAAGGTGTGACAAAAATCGTTCTATTGGTAAGAAAAATTCATTGTGATCCGAACTTTCGTTTGAATTTCTAAGGCTGAGGATTACGAAGTGTAATTAATTTGTGACAGATCAGTTTTTGTTACCTGATACAGTACTGAAATAGAAAATGGCTGACGCTTAGATGCGTAGTCGGAAAAGAAATCATAGGTTAAGGGGTTAATACGCTTTCTCACATAATTACATACTCGATCATAGAACTACAACAGCGTGACTCTCAGTTACCCAAAGTTTTCCTTGACTTCCTCTGAAGAGTATTTTCCAAAAATCTGTCGTTGATCACATTGCAACAATCCAACTAGTGCCAATTAGCATTCTTCCGGATGTCCATAGACCACAATTTCAACAGCTACTTAACAAAACACACGGAATTTCTGTTTCAGGTGAGAAACCGCACAAGTGCGTAGTGTGCGGCAAAGCGTTCTCTCAGAGCAGCAATTTGATCACGCACATGCGTAAGCACACCGGCTACAAACCGTTCCAGTGCGGCCTCTGCGACAAGGCGTTCCAGAGAAAAGTCGATCTACGACGACACCGAGAGGGGCAACATCCAGCCGCCCCTGCGCTCGACTATCGTTCCCTCCAGCTATCCTCACAGCCCGCCAACATCAAACACTCGCCACCACTGCAGTCAGCCTCCGCTTATCACATGATACCCGTGCCCGGTAACAGTTGAGATTCTCCTTCGATTTCCTTCTTTTCACTCATAACCTGCCCGGAACTTCCTTCGAATCATTCACCGTGTGCCTGTCGTTTGCCGTTTCCTGAGGAGTGTCGCTGAAAACGCGATCGACCAATTCGTAATCTGTCCGAAATACACGAATCCAGAATAGAGGTTGAGTCGATGAGTAGACGGTGTGTGTATTAGAAGTGTTGCAATTGGATAGGAGAAATGTATACTCGATGGTTGATTTAACCTTGGCACGGTCCTCGGGTCTTTTTTGACCCGCCGCTTTTTTATTCTTCTAACTTTTACTGTCGTCGAGTTTATATTCCCTTAACGTTACATTCAAAGTTTACTGCCTAACAGTTGTTACAAACTTTTGTCTTCGGGCCTTTTCACCCAGAAATCAGTCTTCTACAACCATAAAAATATTGGTAATCTCAGCGATCACGGTTCTGTGAAAACAGCTTAAACAGAGAAACGAAGCCAAAAATCTTATTTTAGGTGAACAGTATCGATTCATCGGTATACATCTTTAAATTCTCGAATCCTTCTCCAACATCTTCTACGCATACACGAAAGAATAATGAGGGAAGAGCTCGACACGAATGCAACCAGCGTGAAAACACGTCCATCAAAGTGAAGAAATGAGAAATTTCGTTGTTTCAACAGGACAGATTCGCGTTTTCTGTCCTAAACAAAAATGATTCCGAGTGAGCGTTGAACGTGGTAGGTACGCACACCTGTTTCAAAGTATGTACCTGGATCTGGTGGTGATCGGTGGTACTTGTACACCTCGAAGACGTTCAACAATGGAAATACGCCTGTAAGGGAGGCAAGCTTCTTTACATATTTTTCGAACCAAACTACAAAGTAGCCAAGTCCTCCTCGACGAGTGAACGAGATCTACCACTCCTTTTTTAGATAGGGAACCTTCAGCCGTCCATTACTGCTGTACTTTCGGTATGTAGGTATACATGTATATATATAAAAAAAATATATATATATTTCAATGAAAATATATATACACATTATTAACGTAGATGCAGATATGTATGGATACATATGTGTATATACGCGCGTATACATGCGAACATGCATACTTACGACGATAAGGAACAATTGGGAAATTGTTTTTATAGGAAAATCGTGGAAATTGATTGAATTCGACGAACCGCGTAGACAATTGAAAAGTTGATAGGGAAAAGCGTTAGTTTTAGATAGCATTCAGTTAATTTGTGTAAGACTACATGCATTTTGAAGGGAGAGAAAAAAAGGTAAATTAAGATGCATGTGTAGAAAAAGAAAATTGTTTTTTGAAGGGCGGTGATTTTGGAAATTTTTATTAAAAACGTAGCAATTTCAAAGATTTACTTTAACCCTTTTGTGACCAATGGGATGTATACGTTCCATTTGAGTAGTCGAACAAAAATTGATCTCAATTTAGCATTCATTACAAACGCAACGATCGGTCGATAAACTAGAAATTTACTTTTTAAATAATTTTGTCACGAAAGAGTTCAAGAATATCTAAAATTTTGCTGTTTAATAGAACAGAAAATTTCGGAAAAAATCCTTAATTGCTATTCTTCAAATTTGCATGGACATATTGAAATTGTCTATGCAAATGGCGAAACATAAAGAGTACGATATTCTTCACGCCCTCCATTATTGAATGCATGTGTTCGTGCGTATAAATTATAAATCCGTATACATATATTAAATAATATATGCGAGCCAGCGTTACCAGTTGCACGTGCAGGGTTTTAAAATATTTAGATGTACGTCCGTTTACATTTAGAAGTGATTTTGTTAATCACTTAAGTGGTAATGTAGAGCATTTCTTTTAGGAAATTTCATTTACCGGTAATAAAGGGAACGAAAAAGTCGTAGAAAATGTAAACCTCCTAAAGGTGATAATTGAATGAAACTTGATTAGAAACGTCTTCGTTATGATTTCAGATTTACATTGTTATCGTTAAAAAATCGAAACTTACAAAATGACAATTGAACACAGTGAAATTTGCCACTTGAGAGATTAAGAAATCAAGGAGTTCTTTCAGAGTGTGTTTTTCAATACCGATTGAGGGGTACACGCATATTCCATCGGCGATTTCTAACGAATGTACAGCAATCCTGCCGCAATAATCACCGTATACGTTTCCATGTTGCCCGATATTTTGCATATTTTTTACTATTTCTACCTCTCGCAAAGTCACGAATGGACAGAAGGTCTATTTCACAGGAATGTGCCTTGTTTCGATTGTAAATCGAAAAATTTTCCCTTTGCTCGAATCTTATTCATTGAACGTTGTCATTTCTCTTTTTTTTTTTTTTTTTTTTTTTTTTTTTTGCTGTACTATTAGATTAGGAATTTTCAGTCGCAGACATACAAGGCAGTATGAACTTTTTTTGTTATTTTTGTGTCCTAAATTGCAACACTTGCCACATATTAGGAAACACCCTGTATAATAAGAATAATCTCGCCTTTATTCTTAGCTAATATAACGTTACAGAAGATAGTAAAATTTATGTAAAAAATAATTCTATATTCTTTAAATCTTCTATGAAAATAGATAAGACGGATATCGATTGAAAATTTTCTTTGGTAACGAATACCAAATAGAGGTAATTTTAACTTATCATAAAAGTTTCTAAAGACATTTTTATATTTTCTAAAATTACGAAAATTTCTATTCTTCTTGTGCAATCAAAATGAACTTAAATTACTCGTTGACTTATCTTCTCAGTCGAATAAATAAACGAAGAAGTCAAGAATGAACGAAGAGCTTAAATTAAACTAGATTGTTTGCGATTAAAATTCCTATTCAACCTTTGAAATTTAATCATCGTGCCATTAAAATTAAGTTGTCCATCCAAGGTAAATTTGCGAAAATAGATGTTTGCTTCTACATTGAATTCATTTAACATAAAGAAAATAACGTTCTTCGTTAATAGTCTTCAGATTCGTTACTTTCTCGAGCTTAGAAGCATTTTGTAAAAACGTCGTTTAACTTTTAAGAAGTCTAAGTTATTATTTCTCGATACGTACCATCTTCGAATCGAATCAATCGCAGAGAGAGAGAAAAAGTCGCAAGGAAATTGAGTGAAACAAAAATTTATAAATAACGTGTTCTCGTCGGATCAAACGAGGAGAAAAAGGAACAGGACCAGAAGAAAATTTCAGTAGAAATTCGATGCCTGGCAAAGAATCATAGCGGCTAGAGGACCAAAGATAGCATAAGTCGGACCTAGTCGAACGGTATTGTTCGGGTGAGAAAGGAAAAAACAGAAGAAAAATTGAAAATTCTCTAAAAACAGCGTAAAATCACGACACCCGTAAGTTTACCAAAGACTTTGGTCCTTTTCTTGCGTACGTACGATTTGTATTATATACTGTTAGGCTTAGGTTGATCGTTTAATTAAGAATTCGGCGAATATTCGACGATCGAACATTCGCCGGTGCGAGCGAGCGAGTAAACTTAATATTTTTTCAATGTCGCATTATTCGTCGAAATAATTTGTTGAGCCGTGCGGTCCACATTTTCACCCTACTTTTCATAATCACACATAGACGAAGAGATTCTCGTTCGATCGAATAGTAACAGTCTTAACCCTCGAACTATTGCGAATATACTTATTTCGTAGCCTTAAGGTGTATAAAATTGTCGAAGTGGTGATTTACATATTTTTTTTAGACGAAATCTTTCGAAAGGCAAGTTCTCACGATCGTAATTTCTCGTTTGACAGAAAGTTTCTTTTTCTTTTTTTTTTTAAGAGTAGTTCGATAATTATCGAGTAGTAGTTTGAGGATTAACGATGAATGAAATTTAGATAAGGAGAAGGGGGCCGATACATAAATAGGTAAGTAAATTTAATTGACCGCGAGTGTGAAGGACGTGTGTCTGTCGATTGCTAGTGAGAAATTTGTGTTGATCGGTAAAACCAAAAAATATGTTTATAATTGGTATAAATACGGTTTCGATTGAATAAATTGTTTTTCTTATAAACTACGAGTATCTTCCCTGTCCTCGTAATTGCACGATGCAACAAGCTATCGAACGATCCTTTCTTCCTTCCGAATCCATCGAGTCGAAGAATTATTTCATTCGTTAGAGAAATATTTTAGACGTTAAATTGGTAAACGCGAAACGTGCGTTGTCAGTAGGATGAAAATTAGTTTAATCTGGAAATTTTGTATTTCTCAATCTTTAATAATGAATTAGTTACACTTCACGTTAGTAATCTCAAAATTAGTTTAATATTAAAATTTTGTATTTCTCGATCTTTAATAGTAAATTACACTTTTCGTATTTCCGAAGAAATTGTCAGAGAAAACATTTCTTAATCTAAAATATATTCTATATTTATAAAAAAAGAAACAAGGACAACTTTTAAGCACCTTCGAAGATGCTTCGATACTGTGGTATCGGGGCCTCCATACCCAAATAGGAAACCTCGAAGGGAGAATAGAGAGGGAGTGGTTGGCGTAGGGCGCAAAGCCTCAGCTTGGTAATTCCCGTTGGGGGGTCCCAATATTTTTCCGTCGTCAGTTCCTACAAATGGGGGCTCAGCCGGGATGGAGGCATCTACGTCTGCACGAAGCCCCAGGCGCTGTGAGATGAAAAAAACATCTCGAGGGTTGTGCACATTTCCCAAAAATGCGTTGTTTCGGCTGTGTGCCACTGTGTGGGGGAGTTGTGCCCGAAAGTGTTGAGTCGTGTTGCACTGAGGACAACATTCGAGGGCGAATGTCAATTCAGGATGGCCGAGTGTAGTATCGGGGCCTCCATGCCCAAATAGGAAACCTCCAAGGGACAATAGAGAGGGAGTGGTTGGCGTAGCGCGCAAAGCCTCGGCTTGGTAAGCCGAAGGTCCCGGGTTCGATTCCCGTTGGAATCCTTCAATATTTTTCCGTCGTCGGTTCCTACAATACTACATTTCCCGTCGAAAAAGTAATTAGCGGTATCAAATCACATTTTTCTCAGAAACTAGGATTCGCGGATAAAAAT